TGGAGTCTAGAGATCCAGAGCAGATTTGTAGATAACTAGGATGATCATAAATCATAAGTGCTACAATGAGAGGATCATAGATCTGTGGCAGATTGATAGAGAACTAGGCTGATCATAAATTACCAGTTATATTAACTACAGGAGAGCTACAAGTAGAAGATCATGGATCTGTGGCAGATTGATAGATAACTAGGGTGATCATAAATCACTAGATATATTAACTACAGGAGAGCTACAAGGAGAGGATCATAGATCTGTGGCAGATTGATAGATGACTAGGATGATCATAAATCACCAGTTATATTAACTACAGGAGAGCTACAAGTAGAAGATCATGGATCTGTGGCAGATTGATAGATAACTAGGATGATCATAAATCATCAGTTAAATTAACTACAGGAGAGCTACAAGGAGAGGATTATAGATCTGTGGCAGATTGATAGATAACTAGGATGATCATAAATCACCAGTTACATGGACTACAGATCCCAGAGATATAGAGCAGACTGTAGATCAACAGAGATGCAGAGCAGACTACAGATCATGGAGATATAGAGCAGACTGCAAATTATAGAGATGCAGAGCAGACTACAGATTACAGAGATATATAGCAGACTGTATATCAACAGAGATGGAGAGCAGACTTCAGATCACAGAGATATAGAGCAGACTGTAGATCAACAGAGATGCAGAGCAGAGCAGACTACAGATCACAGAGATATAGAGCAGACTGTAAATAATAGAGATGCAGATCAGACTACAGATCACAGAGATATAGAGCAGACTGTAGATCAACAGAGATGCAGAGCAGACTTCAGATCACAGAGCTAAAGAGAAGACGGTAGATCAATAGAGATGCAGAGCAGACTACAGATCACAGTGATATAGGACAGACTATACTGTGGAATGTGGATACTGTAGGCATTAAGGATACTGCAGATAAGGTGGATACTGTAGGTATTGAGGATACTACAGATAATGTGGATACTAGAGCATATTGGTAGAAAGCTAGTATTGATCAGAAGATCAACGGTTATATGATCTACAGAAGGATAAAGAGGAGAGCCATGATCACTGGGATGATGTACCCCGGATTTACTGAGACCACATCTAGCCCAGCAGGGAACAGAGACTCAGGGGAACTGCTGAGGGACTCTTTAGACCTATTGAATACGGATTAGAAAGGAAACCGTTATAACAGATATATTTAAGCCAATAAATGTAAACTAATAAATCTCGTTCATTAAACCTATGTTTGAAGACCTGAAGAGATAGCTTTTATGAGTAAAGATGGTTACATTAAGGTACGCAAATAAATAGTAGAATCCTTTGCACAAACCCTCAAGGTAGAGGGGAAACTGGTTAATCTTGATATCCCTAGGATTTATGTCTGGAAATTGTTGTAAACGAAGAGACCGTTAAATACTACAGTAGTATTATTTATACTATGGAGTATTATATGTACTATGTAGTATTATTTGTACTATGGAGTATCATTTGTACTATGTAGTATTATTTGTACAATAAAGTAATATTTGTATTATGAAGTGCTATTTGTACTATGTAGTATTATCTGTACTATGCAGCATTATTTGTACTATGCAGTATTATTTGTACTATGGAGTATCACTTGTACTATGGCATATTATTTGTACTATGAAATAGTAATTATACTATGCAGTATTATTTTTACTATAAAGTATTCTTTGTACTATGGAGTATCATTTGTACTATAGAGTATTATTTGTACTAAGTAGTATTATTTGTACTATGGAGTATTATTTGTACTATAGAGTACTATTTGTACTATGGAGTATTATTTGTACTATAGAGTATTATTTGTACTAAGTAGTATTATTTGTACGCTGGAGTATTATTTGTACTTTGTAGAATTATCTGTACTATGCAGCATTATTTCTACTGTAAAGTATCATTTGTACAATGTAGAATTATTTGTACTATGGAGTATCATTTGTACTATGGAGCATTATTTGTACTATGAAGAATGAATTGTACTATGAAGTATTATTTGTACTATGCAGTATTATTTGTACTATGTAGTATTATTTGTACTATGAAGTATTATTTGTACTATGCAGTGTTAATTGTACTGTTGAGTATTATTTGTACTATGCAGTATTGTACTATGCAGTATTATTTGTACTATGGAGTATTATTTGTACTATGCAGTATTATTTGTACTATGCAATATTATTTGTACTATGGAGTATTATTTGTACTATGAAGTATTATTTGTACTATGAAGTAATATTATTTGTACTATGTTGTCGTATTTTTACTATGCAGTATTATTTGTACTATGTAATAATATTTGTACTATGCAGTATTATAAGTACTATGCAGTATTTTTCGTACTATGTAATAATATTTGTACATTGTAATTTACAATGCTGTATTATTTTTACAACGCAGTATTTGTAATATGTAATATGTAATAGTATTTATTGTACTATACAGGATAATTTTCCTTTGGAGTTATATTTCTATATTTCTTGATACTACCATGGATAATATATATATATATATATATATATATACTGAAGAATTTTGTAAAATGTGGCCTTTTAAATTTTTAAGTGATGAATTTAATGCCACTGAATTTTATGTAAACAATAGGGTTACTGAATCCAAGTTGTTGTATTTTATTCAAACAAAATTAATAATCAATATATCTGTGTTGAATGTAAAAAATAAATTTCGGAATAAAAGAGATTTAAATTAATTTTTGTAAAGATAAAAAATAGCCCTGAACTACGCAAAACAGTTATAAAATAGCTGTATATGATTGTGCGTGAAAACACGCTCACTGCACAGTATATCCGCGGAATTTGATCAAACAAAAATCTTTTAAAACTGACATTATACATTCACATTCTTTTCTTGTCTTTTTCGATATGGGATTAAATGGAATTATTTGTACTATGCAGAATTATTTGTACTATGTAGTATTATTTGTACTATGCAATATTATTTGTACTGTTGAATATTATTTGTACTATGAAATACTAATTGCACTATGCAGTATTATTTGTACTATGTAGTATTATTTGTACTATGTAGTATTATTTGTACTATGCAGTATTATTTATACTATGTAGTGTTATTTGTACTATGGAGTATTATTTGTATTATGAAATATTAATTGCACTATGCAGTATTATTTGTACTATGCAGTATTATTTGTACTATGTAGTATTATTTGTACTATGCAGTATTATTTATACTATGTAGTATTATTTGTACTAAGCATATTTGTACTATGTAGTGTTATTTGTACTATGGAGTATTATTTGCACTATGTAGTGTTATTTGTACTATGTAGTGTTATTTGTACTATGCAGTATTATTTGTACCATGTAGTATTATTTATACTATGTAGTGTTATTTGTACTATGTAGTAATATTTGTATTATGAAATATTAATTGCACTATGCAGTATTATTTGTACTATGTAGTAGTATTTGTACTATGTAGTATTATTTGTACTATGCAGTATTATTTATACTATGTAGTGTTATATGTACTATGGAGTATTATTTGTATTATGAAATATTAATTGCACTATGCAGTATTATTTGTACTATGCAGTATTATTTGTACTATGTAGTATTATTTGTACTATGCAGTATTATTTATACTATGTAGTATTATTTGTACTAAGCATATTTGTACTATGTAGTGTTATTTGTACTATGGAGTATTATTTGCACTATGTAGTGTTATTTGTACTATGTAGTGTTATTTGTACTATGTAGTGTTATTTGTACTATGCAGTGTTATTTGTACTATGTAGTGTTATTTGTACTATGCAGTTTTATTTGTACTATGCATTATTATTTGTACTATGAAATATTAATTGTACTATGTAGTGTTATTTGCATTATGCAGTGTTATTTGTACTATGTAGTATTATTTGTACTGTTGAGTATTATTTGTACTATGTAGTGTTATTCGTACTATGAAGTATTATTTGTACTATGTAGTGTTATTTGTACTATGTAGTGTTATTTGTACTATGTAGGATTTTTTGTACTGTTGAGTATTATGTGTACTTTTGAGTATTATTTGTACTGTTGAGTGTTATTTGTACTATGTAGTATTATTTGTACTGTTGAGCATTATTTGTACTTTTTTCCTTACTATTTAGTATTTGGTCGGCGTTGAGAAAAAATTTCATTTTTCACCTCTATCGAGCTCTTGCTTATTTCGTACAAATCCAGTCATCTAATGGCGTGAAAAAATATAAAGTTTACATTTATTGGGTATATACATATATATAATTATATATATGGAATATATAAAACTTTTTACGAGTACCTATCTCGTATCTTATTTAAACACCCAAACCTAAACAACAAATAAAGCCGACACACATGTCGGGCTTATAAAATAAAAAGTCAATTTCCTTCTTAAATACTAATATATATATATATATATATCCCCTAGATTTTAAAATGAAAAAATATAACTCATACTCAGATCTATTCCTTGGAGAATGACAGTTTTGTTTATATTTTTCTACACGCAATTATATAACAGGATATGACGTCATAGCAGAGCATGTATGCCGGTAAAAATTAACAATATGTAGTATTATTTGTACTATGTAGTAGTATTTGTACTATTTCGTACTATTTGTACTACGTATTATAATTTGTAATATTGAATATTATTAACTCGTACTATGGAGTATCATTTGTACTATGAGGAATTATGTGTATTGCGCAGTAGAATTTGTACTATTTACATTATTATTATTATTATTTTCATTTTCATTATTATTAGTAGTAGTACTATTAGTATTGCTTGTACTATGTAGTATGTATTATTTACACTAACTAGAATTTTTTGTATTATGTAGGCTTATATGTACTATGTAGTATTACTATGGGGATTTATTTGTACTATGGGGAACTATTTGTAGTATGGGAAACTATTTGTACTGTGGGGAACTATTTGTACTATGGGGAACTATCTGTACTATGGGGAACTATTTGTACTTATTGGGGAACTATTTGTACTATGGGGAACTATTTGTACTATGGGGAACTATTTGTACTATTGGGAACTATTTGTACTATGGGGAACTATTTGTACTTTGGGGAACACATAAATTATGATGTTTTTACTTACGCTTCAAACCCCGTCAAAACTTTAATGTAGAGCATTTCAAAATGTTTAATCCGGTTTAATAACACTGGCTTATAATTGTTAAGTTCTAAGAGTTAGGGCATTAAAAGTTGGCATTCTTTATTGCACATTTTATTTGAAAAACTTGTTTGTTTAGGCGGGCATCAACAATTGGATGCTCTAAATACCGTAAATCCAAGGAGTTTTCAACAGGTTAAGAATTAAAACTCTAAAACATATATTTCATTGATTTAAGGGAATTTAAAACTATAAATTTTTCATTTTGTAGCAAAAACTTTGTAAATGTGTTGAAATTGTTTTTTGGCATTTCCATTTTTTCCCTCAAAAATTACATTTATCTTATGCTCGTTTCTTAAACTTGTTACACTTTTTTTGTTAGAACTTATATTATATGTAGTGCAGAACCAGAAAACAAAGGAACTCATTTTCGTTTTTCTTTTAATTATCAAACGTCGCTAGATTTTGAAATTTGCACTAAATTATTACTAAAAGTTTCTGCAGTATAAATTATCTTTTTACAAATTTTATTTTTTAGTTTACACGATGGGATTTCAAGGTAATCTTATAATTAGTTCAAAATCATAATTTTTTACTTAAATATTTTTTATTTCATAAAAGTTATGTAGCGTGCATAATCGTATAGTTAGTGTATCTTTTATTAGGTAAAAACTGTTTAACATAATTTAGACTTATCGTCTGTTTGTTATCGTTATTTATTATCTCTTGTTAGCTCTGCATGGACATTTCCTTAGCGCTTACACGAGATAATATCAATACAAAAGGAGACATTTGAAAAAAGGGAAAATAGGTTTGCTAATAAGTCAGGTTAGGACATGGTGGATAAGGTGAAGGTTAGGTAAGCTTAGGTTAGGATGTGTTGGGTCAGTTGAGATCAAGCTGGGTTAGGTCCCGGGTTTGGTTGTGTAAGAATAGGCTGGGTCAGGTTGGGTTGAGTCAGAATAGGCTGACATGTCTTTGGTGAACTAAGAAAAGACTGGGGGGATGTGTTGGGTGGAGTGAGAATAGGCTGGTATGTGTTGGGTGTAGTAATAATAGACTAGGAAGGGTTGGGTTGAGTCAGAATAGGCGGGGTCAGGTTGGGTTAAGTCAGAATAGGCTGGGTCAGGTTGAGTTGAATCAGAAAAGGCTGGGGTGGGTTGGGTGGAGTAAGAATAGGCCGGGATGTGTTGGATTGATTAACATTAGGCTGGGATTGGTTGGGTTGAGTGAAAATAGGTTTGGGTTTGTTGGGTTCAGTCAAAATAGGCTGGGATTTGTTGGGTTGAGTCAAAATAGGCTGGGATGTGTTGGGTTGAGTCAAAATAAGCTAGTTCGGATTGGGTTGAGTCAGAATAGATGGGGTCGGGGTTGGATTAAGACATAAAAGGCTGGGGATGTGTTGTGTGGAGTAAGAATAAGCTGGAATGGGTTGGGTTGAGTCAGAATAGGCTGGATCGGGTTGGGTTAAGTAAGAATAAGCTGGGATTGGTTGGGTAGAGTCAGAATAGGCTGGTATGTGTTGGGTTGAGTAAGAATAAGCTGGAATGGGTTGGGTTGAGTCAAAATAGGCTGGATCGGGTTGGGTTGAGTAAGAATAAGCTGGGATTGGTTGGGTAGAGTCAGAATAGGCTGGATCGGGTTGGGTTGAGTAAGAATAGGTTTGTTTATGTCAGGTTAGGATGGAATAGGTCAGGTTATGAAGGTTATGTATAGTTTGAAACCTTATAAACTTTATTCTTAGAGTTTTAAACCAGTAAGTGGGAAGTGGGAAACAACAAAGGTACAGAAATTAAATAATTTTAAAAACAATCACTTAAGCACTATTATAAAGAAATACGTCGACCACCGTACCCTTCCCCCCTCCCGTAAACTCTTATACCTGAATGATAACGTAAAACTAACCTTGTGTACATACGTGCATCGGAAATTTTTTTTTCTTATTTTGATTTCTTATTCAATACCGTCAAAAAGCGCATCACAGATTTTATGTTTACTGTAAATATAGTGTATACTTTATCATAGATAAAAAAACGAAAAAGTATGAAAAGTACGAAAAAACTTTATTTAATGGGGGAAATTAATATTTAGAAGTTAAAGTGAAACTGAAAGGCGTATATAGTTATTAAACAAAATGTATCCGAGTTTATTTTTTGTACTTAATCAACATTAATCCTTTTAATTGATAACTAATGATATTAATATAATTTTCTTCGTAGTGCGCCATACAAATAAAATCTTTGTATTCCCGATGTTTTGCGTTTAAGGATCCTAAAAATCCAAACTGGTAAGTAAAACAATTTTTTAAGGTATTTTTTTTCAGTCCCCGAGTCTACAAAGGAACTAGCTGAACCCTCTTTTATTTTTAAATCTCTTATCTTTGCAACCTGTTATGGTATACAGTCGTCGTCATATATATCAATACAATAAAGACTGCTTTCAATTCCATTATTATATTTCTACTAAGCTTTCAAACAGCATGGATATTGGATACGCAGCTTATTAGAAATCAAAACTTAAATAGAAAAGTCGTCTTCATTGAGTTGACATAAACGCCGAGCACTGCTGCAAAATTTTAAGTTTTTAATTTCAAAGAACTTCAGCATTTAGTTAAATTTAAAGTTAAAGTTAAAGCAAAAAATGCTTGAATAGAAGTAGAATTTGAGGCGAGTAACCAATTTTAAAATACATTTATTTCATTCTGTTTTTAATCAAACATCCGTTCTTATTGGGAAATGCGAATTTATTTGCTCGAAATTTAGCCTGCGAATAGGGCGGGGGATAGCTAAACGTTGAGACATATGTTCTTTCAAAATATGAAAACAAAATAGATTCCTGTGACAATCAATGAAAATAATGTCTATAATCAAAATATTGTTCAGGCACCATATAGCAATGATTGGAGGAGAGGACGGAGAAACAGAAGATCCGAACAAATCAGTTCATCATCTTGTGGTTAGTTTTTTATCAGACAATTCTGATAGGTTATGTAAGACAATTGTGGTAAATTTTTTCATCTGATTGTGGTAGGTTTTATCAGCTGATTGTGGTAGTTTTTATCAGCTGATTGGGGTAGGTTATATTAGCTTATTCTGGTAGGTTATATCAGTTGATTGTGATAGGTTGGACCAGCTGGTTGTGTTATGTTTTACCAGATTATTGTGATAGGTTATATCAGCTGATTGTGGTAGGTCATATCAGCTGATTGTGGTAGGTTATATCAGCTGTTTGAGGTAGGTTACATCAGCAGATTGAGATAGTTTATAAGAGCTGATTGTGGTAGTTTATATCAGCTGATTGTGGTACTTTACATCAGTTGATTGTAGTAGGTTATATCAGCTGGTTGTGGTAGGCTATATCAACTGATTGGGGTAGGTTGTATCAGCTGATTGAAGCAGATTATAACAGCTGATTATAGAAGGTGATTTCAGCTGATTGTGGTAGATTATATCAGCTAATTGTGATAGTCTATAACAGCTGATTGTGGTAGGTTATATAAGCTGATTGTGGTAGGTTATATCAGCTAATTGTGGTAGGTTCTAACAGCTGATTTTGTAGGTTATATAAGCTTGTTATGGTGTCAATCAAGTCCTTGTGTCGCTCTCCTGGAAGAGTTTCTTTGTTTATTGTTTATCTTTAACAGAAACTGGGTTTTTGGTCTAATCTGTTTAAAGCAAAAAGTTTTATTTATAATTTGTATAATAAATCAAATTAACTTTAATATCATTTATTTCTCGCCACAATTAATTTTCAGTTCGACGATAAAACCAATCAGCTATGGTATTACAACTCTAAGGCAGGGGTGTTTATTTTCTTGGAAATAATGCTTTTTATTGATAAATTTTAACTCAAAAATTGTTATCATCAGTGGCCGAATTTGAAGAATTTGAGCGGCGGTTTAAATTTAAGCCGCGGCTTAATTATGGTTGGTTCCACTTAAAACTGTATCAAATGTTTCAAGATTTAAGCCGGCGCTTAATTTAAACCGCGGGTTTTGGCAGATTTAAACCGCGACTCAAATTTTTTAAATTCCATCTCAGGTCTATCAAAATATGTAAATAAATAAATATATAATCCTGATCTAAGTCAGACCAAGCTCCAGGGTGTGCTGAAAGTAACTCTACGAATCCAAATCAACAGGTTTAAATTCTAACAACATATTTTTTAATAAATTGCATAATCACATAATTGAAGAGTTCTGAAGTCAAAACTTTTGAGATATAAATCTCGGGATCAAGCTTTGATCTTCATCTTTTGCAGATCAACGGATTAATTGAATTCCTATTCGATATCCTCTGGTAGTCGTAGTCTACAATTGAAAAATTAAGCATTATCCTCAAATTTTACAGTGCCCACATACTCTATTAAAGTTCCGACAATAGGATATATCGTATAAAAAATGCCGTATAAAATCTGTGATTTGCACTTTTTCACCGTATAAAACAAAAAATCATATTTTCTTAAATTTTCAGAGCGCAATCTTTGCTACAGGAATACTCAATACTAAATATATATGTTAGCCTAGCCTCCTGCTGGGTGTAAAGGGTTTGAAAGAGTTTGCTACAGGAATACTCAGTAGTAAAGATGACAAGAAAATAAACATTGTTGCAGCAGGAACAGAAACTATTTAGAATAAAGTGCATGGCACTATTTCTGTTCTCAGTTTTAAAAATAATTTTTTAAAAAGTTTGGTCTCTTAACTCATTAAATAATTACTTTATTAATTAGAAATATCATTTGTAACTTTTTGCATATGAATGTTATTTTTTTTAAGAATAGATTTATGCAAAAAATGTCCTCGGCTAATTTTCTATTAAATTTTGATTGGTATATTTCTATATGACAGACATGCACAGGATAAATCGTTATGAAGAAACATTTAGAACTTCTTGAAAAGTGTGAAACCGCCTTATACAGATATGATACAAAACAATCTGTTAATAAATTAAAATGTATTTGAAAGAAACGTATTTTCTACAGTTGTGTAAACTATTTATGACTTATTATGAGATTATCCTCTATTGCAGAAATGCCATCTTGGATTCAAAACAAAAATTTGTTAAAACCCTTTTTGATGTCCACGCTGTTTATGGTTTACTGAATTGTTAGGAGGGAAGATAAATGGAACAGTGTTCAGGTACAGGGTGTCCCAATAAATATGAGAATCAAGAGGCTATGTATACAGGATGTCCCAATAAATATGAAAATTAGAAGGCTATGTATACAGGGTATCTCTATAAACATAAAAACTAAGAGACTTGTACACCCTTGGGTGTCCCAATAAACATAAAAACTAAGAGACTTGTACACCCTAGGGTGTCCCAATAAACATAAAAACTAAAAGACTTGTACACCATAGGGTGTCCCAATAAACATAACAACCAAGAGACAATTGTACACACTGGGGTGTCCCAATAATAAATCAATTGAGATTTCGTTTCAAAAATATATATTTCTCTTGTGGTTCCTTCAAAAGTAATTTAGATAAAAAATATTGATCGCCGTTTCAGTTTTTAAAAGCTGTACAAAGTGCCGTTGCGGTTTATCCTGTAAACAAAAAAGTTTCAGCTCAGTTTGCGCAAAAGAACTTTTCAAAATAAGCCTCAAATTCTGCTCAAATTGCAAAGACATTTGTAAGAAAGTATAAAAAGAAGACGACAATTTATGTAATATTTTCATTTATTTATCTATCTAGGCAGTTATTATTACTTCGAGATTTTTCACAGAAGAATTCATCAAAATCTACACCGGTAAATCTTAATTAATTGTCAGGAGAACATTTCAAAAATACAGGGTTTTTTTAAAAACAAGATTCTTCTTTTATTTAATTCGTTTGAACTTTTTTTTTACTTTTTGGGTCCATGGTTAGGAAAAAGTGTATTGTGACCTAAAAAGTATAGAGTTATACATGCAAATGAGACTTCTATTAAATCATTCATTGTCTTCTGTAGACGTAAAATTGTTTCTTTCTTTGCCAAATCTTTAACATTATTTAAGATAGAGGATAAAATTATACAATACACATGCATTTTGTCAAATCAAAAGATTTTAAGTATTGAGAAGTATTTATACCGCTAGGCTTTCAGTTCGTTTCGTGGATTTTCAAAATTTAATGAAAATCGAATTTTAACAGACAGACACCCAGACGAGAGAAGTATATATATAGATTAATGTTCAGGAGAGATACAGTTTCCCGCTAGCTCGCCATTCTGCTTCAAGCGTTGTTGTTCCGACAGCATTCTTTGCTGGCATGAACTGCTCGATCAAGTAATTAATAAACGGTCATTTTATTGAATAAGCTACTTGGAAACCCAACTTTGCTTGGAGTTTTCCTTGTACAAGTCAGCCCACTCAACTTAGAATACCTAGACCAAGCTAGAATATTCCCGTAGTTCTACTTAGTTTTCAAATTAGAATTTAAGGCAGGTCGGTCCAGGGTTTCATGAGTTAAAATCGGTCCAGGGTTTCATGAGTTAAAATCGGTCCAGGGTTTCTTGAGTTAAAATAGGTCTAAGGTTTCATGAGTTTAAATCGGTCCAGGGTTTCATGAGTTAAAATCGGTCCAGAGTTTCACGAGATAAATCGGTCCAGGGTTTCTTGAGTTGAATAGGTCCTAGGTTTCATGAGTTAAAATCGGTCCACGGTTTAATGAGTTAAATTAAATCAGTCCTAAGTTTCATGAGCTAAAATCGGTCCGATGTTTCATGAGTTAAAATCCGTCCATGGTTTTATAAGTTAAAATCGGTCCAAGGTTTCTTGAGTTAAATTAAATCAGTCCAAGGTTTCATGAGCTAAAATCGGTCCGATGTTTCATGAGTTAAAATCCGTCCAGGGTTTTATAAGTTAAAATCGGTCCAAGGTTTCATGTGTTAAATAGGTCCAGGTTTTTATAGAGTTAAAATCGGTCCAGGGTTTATTGAGTTAAAATCGGTCCAGGGTGTAATGAGTTAAAATCGGTCCAGGGTTTCATGAGTTAAAATCGGACCAAGGTTTCATGGAGTTAAAATCGGTCCAAGCTTTCATGTGTTAAAATAGGTCCAGGTTTTTATGAATTAAAATCGGTCCAGGGTTTAATGAGTTAAAATCGGTCCAGGGTTTCATGAGTCAAAATCGGCCCAAGGTTTCATGGAGTTAAAATCGGTCCAAGGTTTCATGTGTTAAAATAGGTCCAGGTTTTTATGAGTTGAAATCGGTCCAGGGTTTATTGAGTTAAAATCGGTCCAGGGTTTAATGAGTTAGTCCAAGGTTTCATGAGTTAAAATCAGTCCAGGGTTTTATGAGTTAAAATCCGTCCAGGGTTTCATGAGTTAAAATCAGTCCAAGGTTTCATGTGTTAAAATAGGTCCAGATTTTTATGAGTTAAAATCAGTCCAGGGTTTGATGAGTTAAAATCGGTCCAGGGTTTCATGAGTTAAAGACTTGTACACCATAGGGTGTCCCAATAAACATAACAACCAAGAGACAATTGTACACACTGGGGTNAGGGTTTCATGAGTTAAAATCGGTCCAGGGTTTCATGAGTTAAAATCGGTCGAGGGTTTCATGAGTTAAAATCGGTCGAGGGTTTCATGAGTTAAAATCGGTCCAGGGTTTCATGAGTTAAAATCGGTCGAGGGTTTCATGAGTTAGAATCGGTCCAGCGTTTCTTGGGTTAAAATTGGTCGAGGGTTTCATGAGTTAAAATCGGTCCAGAGTTTCTTGAGTTAAAATCGGTCCAGGGTTTCATGAGTTAAAATCGGTCCAGGGTTTCATGAGTTCAAATCGGTCCAAGGTTTCATGAGTTCAAATCGGTACCGGGTTTCATGAGTTAAAATCGGTCCAGGGTTTTATAAGTTGAAATCGATCCAGGGTTCCATGGAGTTAAAATCGGTCCAGGGTTTCATGAGTTAAAATAGGTCCAGGGTTTCATGAGTCAAAATCGAACATGCAAACAAACAAACAAGCACCAAGACACCCAAGCAGATTTTACTGTTTTATATATAAAGATACCACTAAAAGCCAAATTTCAGTATTCTGGTTTTTAAAGATCAGAATTTAGAAATGACCATTTAATTTTAGGGCAGAGGAGAAAAATTCTGGAAGAGAATTGACTTCCGGGATTGGAACTTTGATTTTTATTCTGGGATTGTTTTTCTTGTAATTAGATTTTAATAAAATAAGTGTTTAATAGATTGAATTATGAGCAACTAATTAATTAGAAATTAGAGCTTTTTAAATGTAAATGCTCTCCATCTAGTGTTTTTAAATGTAAATGCTCTCCATCTAGTGTTTTTAAATGTAGATGCTCTCCATCTAGTGTTTTTAAATGTAAATGCTCTCCATCTAGTGTTTAGTTTTCTGAAAATGAACTCATATGTTTTATAATACCTTTATCTCGTATCCGTATCTATATATCGTACTCGTAAATCTTTGATATTTCAAACTAGTATTTTTTTTAGATTTGAGTTTGTGTAAAAACTAAATTCTTCTATAAACGCGTAGAATTAAAAAAACATTTGAAAAATATCGAATTTAAAAAAATATATTTAATTGTTACCCCTAGGGTATCCATGGGGTTCCTAAAAAAAATTCCGCCAATTTGGTCTAGCCCTTTGGTCAGCGATAGCCAGCATGTACGTATATATATATATTTTGGATCAAATACCTTTATTATATAGATAGATTGAATTATAATATATATCTATTTCATTGCGCTACATTTTTACAGAGAAATTATTGTGTTGAAAAATACGTATGTTCTAATAATAACTGTATAATGCAGCTAGAACATGTTCCCCATTTTAATTAAAACAGTAGAGAAATAGAATTTAAAAGAAAAGGAATTATTATTGAAGGGAAATAAGGAGCAATTTATTTCAAAATTCAAAGTACTTATTTTATCATTGTGTAAGGATCTGTCTTTCAAGATGAATGTTTAAACAGCTGCTGGCAATTGTTCAGGTTCAAGTAAAGATAACAAAAGTAAAAATTTAATATACAGGATGAACATAAAAACATTATCCCCAGGGAACATAATTAATATTGAATTGATAAAAACTGATATTTTAGAAAGTTTCAAATAATCATTTTAATTGAATTTAGGTAAACCTTAAAGTTAAACATATATTTGTTTCGCTTTATTTAAATATACGTTAAAAACATCTTTATCTTTCAGTATCAAATATAATAGTATCCTCATAAGTTCAGAATATGAATTATAAATTAAAAATATTGGATTTCAATAGTTATTTATAAAGTTACTGTTGATAACTTTTCTTTTATTGGCCTGTCATTCACCCTTTCAAAAATATTCTTACTTTAATACATATTGATATTTTTAAGATTTTACTAAATAAATACATAAATATAAGATGTCATGAAAATTAAATATGGCACAAAGGAATTGAGTCTTTGTCACAAACTGATTTTCTAATTCATATATCTTTACAACACAATGTCGTAGACCTTAGTTATTTCAAACTACGAATTGGGTCCCCCCCCCTTTCAACTCAACATTTCGATCTATTTCAATCTGAGTTGTAAGGAACCCTAGAGATGGACCCCACCAGGATGTTCCCCCTAGAAACCCTTCCGAAAACCCCCACCAAGAGATTTATATAAGTTTAAAATATCAAAGGTTTACACCGTTAGGTTGCACAGATATAGGGATTAGAAAATTTGAGTTTATGGCAAAGACTTGATTCATTTTACTTTAATTTGACGTGTTTTTCATTTTGATATATTATAACTCAGTAAGGTTCCCCAAGCAGAGAAGGCTGTTATGAAAATCACTTTATAGTAAAAATAACTTTATAGTTAAAAGTTTTCCTAATATGACTCGAATACTTTTTTTCAAAAATGCTAGGTGAATACAAATTACAATCAGCTACACGTCTTCCATTAGAATTAGAACTAAAGATCAAAGTTATGACTGAAAATATAGACAAATGGGCGGATTATTGGTAACAAATAATTTGGTAACCAACATTTTGGTAACTAACAATTTGGTAACTGATAATTTGGAAACCTAACAATTTGGTAACTGGACAATTTGGTAACCAATAATTTGGTAACCTGACAATTTGGTAACTTGACAATTTGGTAACCTGACAATTTGGTAACCTGACAATTTGGTAACCTGACAATTTGGTAACTTGACAATTTGTTAACTAACAATTTGTATAATTGAAACTAATGTTTCACAATCATTGTTTGCATATTTATTTGTTGAATACATAGAGATAAAAAACAATAAACCGGATTTCTTAGAAGTTAAATACGACAAATCCGCTAAAACTGTTTGTAAACTTCACAATCTGGCATCTCAAAATGGCAGGGTACGAGTTTCTGCAAACATCGAGGGGAGGTGTAATGCTGCAGGATTCTCAACAATTTCAGTATAACATGAAAAAAAATACACCAGACTTTAGTCTTTTTGTTTGTAAGAGATATAAAATTATTAGTTACCAAATTGTCAAGTCATCAAATTGACAAGTTACCAAATTGTTAGTTACCAAATTGTTAGTTACCAAATTGTCAAGTTACCAAATTATTAGTTACCAAATTGTTAGTTACCAAAATGTTAGTTACCAAATTATTAGATACCAATAATCCGCCTATTATTTTGTTGAAGTTAGTTTTGCGTTCAGGCACATCTGGCTAAACATTAAACTCAGGGAGACCGAGTTTCGTGAATGGGTTAAGTAAATTTTGGAGATATAAATTTTTTTGTTCGAAATATTATGATTTCATATGATTAGCTTTTTTTCATTTTCTTACTTCAATATCTACAAAAATGTATAACTGTCCCAAAAAGGAAACAGGACACAGGTGGCAAATCCTTCATATTAACGGGTTTGATACGTGAGGTCATTTTCTTCCGAAAAATTTCCCCCGGGTAACATAAGATAGGCATCTCTTAATCGAGTAATTTTACAAAAGAGTTAGTTATTTTGTGCTGACGATTTAAAAAAAATATGGAAAACTATTTAAATTAACGTCTGCTGAGCATGGGCAACTCAATTCACCTAAATTCAATTCAATACATCCTACAGAAGCAGAATGGAGTCGGGATGGATGAGAAAGAAACTCATCCGGGCCATGGAGGATAATAGGTAATTGTATTATTATTATAATCATTATTATTACTATTAATATTATTATTAATATTATTATTATTATTATTATTATTATCATTAAAATTAGTTTTATTATTAGTTAGTACTGTCATTTTTATCATCATTGTTATCATCATTAAAATCATTCTTATCATCATTATTATTATTATTACTATTATTATTACAATCATTGTTATTATCAATAAAATTATTATTATCATTATTATTACAATCATTTTAACTTGCAGGGGTCTTATTCTAACAGTAATAGGTCTTCCTTTATCTTTTTTGTTTGATAAAGTTATGCAGGTAAAATCTATTTTAATCCAAATTTAAACATTAAAATTTAGCATTTTCCAAATTAATAATTTTACATTAAGTTATATTTAATTGGTGGTATAGAGAGTTATATTTAGTTTAGGAACTGGTGGTATAGAGAAATATATTTAGTTTAGGAACTAGTGGTATATAGAGAGTTATATTTTGTTTAGGAACTGGTGGTATGTAGAGAGTTATATTTAGTTTAGGAACTGGTGGTATATAGAGAGTTATATTTAGTTTAGGAACTGGTGGTATAGAGAGTAATATCTAGTTTAGGAACTGGTGGTATAGAGAGTTTTTATCTAGTCCTTCCAAACATATGGATAGAGTAGCAACTATTCAAGCTCAGGTAAAAGATAAACATTAAAAAATCTAAGATTTTAGAATCATTTAAAAAAGGTGTGAGGCAGCAATGTCGTAAAGTTTCTTTTATTCTAAAGTTGATATTCCAGCAATTAAAAATCAGAAACAATTTTAAATAATAATTGGAAAATTTATTATTTATGATTGTTATGATCCAAATCTACAATAATCCAGGTTGTACGAAACGCCTCCCAGCCTGCCGGTCAAAGGAAGACGATGTGTACTGCCCGCCCTAACTGGTTGTCTCTGTCCACCACCTTCTTCAACAAGGAGGCCTGCCACAAGATTCCCATCCCACTCTACGATATCCTGGAGCTCAATGAGACTAATCTTACAGTTAAAGTGGAACCAATGGTTACTGTCGGAGATATTACTAGGTAATCTGAACTGGAGGTTTAATCATTTTATCAGATAAAAAGAAATTGATTCTTTGAAACAAACTCAACTTTTCTATTCCCATATCTTTAAAAACTGATGGCGTGAACCTTTGATATTTAAAACTGAAATTATTGGATTTAACATGATTCATGTTTGCAATATCTAAGGTCTACGAAATAGGGTTGCAAATATATAGGTATTAGAAAAATATCATTTGTGTCAAAGACCATTCCTTTTGCAAGGCGTTGGTTTATACAGGGGTGGGGCTAAGGAGGCTGAGCCCCCCCCCCCCAAAAAAAAAGAGGAATCTGTGGTGCCCATCCAAAGTTTACAAAAGTTTACCTTCCATCTGGAAAAAATTCTCTTAATTCTTGTAATTAATTTCTTCAGCCTTAATTTTCCATTTTTCAATAATTATTCATTTTTGAATTTCAGATATTTAGTACCACGTGGGTATACTTTAGCAGTTACCCTAGAGATTGCTGATGCCACACTCGGAGGTTTAGCTTTCGGAGTTGGGATGACGACATATTCTCATAAGGTCAGTTAAAAAAGATTAGAGTTCAGATTTAAAGGGTCTGATTACGAAAAGTGACTTGCGGATTTCTCAGTACTTCACACATGTCAACCACGTTATTGACTAGGTAAAGGTGTAAACAGTGCTGTTGTGAATCAGGTATGTTCCGTTTAAATGTTGTGTTACTTAAAACAATAACGACTGTCCCTTTAATAAACATCGAACTAGTTGACATTTTCGAAATAGTTCGTATTTGTTCACTTTATGCACGGGCACTTCTTTTTTAACACACACTCGGTCACATAAGTGTAGTTCAGCTTCGCTTAAACACTTCAACTACAAACGTGACATGCCCATTTCATGTTATTGCAAAACGTGTTATTGCAAAATACTACTTTTATTGCTAATATACAATTTCCATGAAACCTGCATTGACGTGCAGATATATATCTAGGTTGGATTGTACCAGGAGACTATTGCAGCTTACGAAGTAGTTCTTGGAGATGGAACTTTTGTCAGAGCAACAAGGGATAATGAATACAGGTACTTCTTTGTAATATCTTATACATACAATTGATTTTACAAAAATGTTTTAAAGTCAATTTAAAGTTACGAAAACGAAACATTATTGAATTTATTTATTAAAAAAAAGATAAATCATTTGAAATTTTTGAGCTTTTTTCATTCATGGTTTAATTTTCCAGTTTCACTAGTTTTCCAAGTTTCTGTAGATAAGCATATTTTTCCGGATCCGAATCATGAGGTCAAAATTTTCCGGATCCGAACCGGATTATAGACATTGAAATTATGGAAATTTTAGTGATCTTTACCACTGCTTACCCTGGTCTCATGGTTCTCTTGGTTTCCTTGTGGGACTAGAACTTCAGGTTAATAATTAAAGACGACATTTAAAAACAACTATTTTTTGATGGGAGGGAGAGAGAGGGTTGTGATTAGGGGATAAAACCTACACGGCATTAGACTCGGAAATCATAAAATACAAAAGTGATCAGAGGTCTGAACTTATGCATGGATAATTGTATATCTTGAACATGATCTCGATATCAAATTAAAATTTGAAGATCAATGTTTGATCTCTATTTTAAAATCAATCCTGTAGGATATCACAATCACAGGATACCGAGGAGGAATTAAATTGATTCGTAGGAATTTATAATATCAATATTTGATACTGAGATTCACAACACAAGTTCTGACTTTGGGTTAAATTTCTTTGTATTCTGTATAAAATAGTCTTCTAAATTCTCTGATGTGTTATTCGAAATATGTTGTCAAATTTAAAGAAGGAGAAGAAAGAAAACGACACTTAATTTTTTCTGGTGTTCACTCTCTTCATCTCTATGGTCGGCTCAAGATTCTCAAAACTCATTTTTTTTGCTTTAGATTATTCCTGTTAAACCTTACATACATATGAAGTATATACCAGTCAAGGGACAGAAAAATTACTGTGAAAAAATAAGGTTAGTTTATATTTGAGAACAAATTAATTAGAAGTTAGTTTTTGAATTCAAAGTTTCTTTTAAAATTTATTTTTAAATTGTGGCAAGAGTTGAGTGGAACCTATGATAGGTCAGATCATATCCCTGATTAATATTATATTGTTTAGAGAGTTGAGTGGAACCTATGATGGGTCAGCTCATATCCCTGATTAATATTATATTGTAACGAGAGTTGAGTGGAACCTATGATGGGTCAGATCATATCTCTGATTAATATTATATTGTGTAGAGAGTTGAGTGGAACCTATGATGGGTCAGCTGAGGTCCCTGACTACCTGGAGGCTACAGTATTCAGTAAAGAGGAGGCTGTTATTATGGTTGGAAATTTTGCAGATGTCACAACCAAGGAGCAGGTTTAAAAACTAAACAAACAAAAAAACTTGTAAACTAATTCTAAGTTAAATGCATCTTGCAAAATGTTCACAATAACAATGCAACAATATTTTTAAAGGTTTCAGACTATGTTGTAAATTGTCTATGAGACTTTTAAATCAAAATTTAATCTAAAATTTAATGATTAATCTTTGAGTTCGATTTTTCTTCCAACATTGAACGTAACTTGTGGATTTCTTGCAGCCAATGAATATATGTTTTATTCTTGTCATGTAATTTTGGAAGAAAAAGGTCATTTAAAATTTCGTTGCCAACATTTTTTAAATATTTATTTTAAGTTATTATTAGTTCTTTGATGCTTCATTTTGTCAACAGTTTTTTTATAATAGATTGTACACTTCTATTTGTTGTTGTTGTTTTAAGGCTAAGAAGATAAACAACGTGACCCGATGGTACAAACCCTGGTTCTACAAACACGTAGAGGCCTTCCTGACTTCCGGGGAGGGGGAGGAGTACATTCCGCTCCGGGAGTACCTACTCCGCCACGACAAGGCCATCTTCTGGGTCCTGGAGTCCATGATTCCGTTCGGGAATCATCCCTTGTTTCTGTTCCTGCTGGGGTGGATGCTTCCACCAAAGCCTGCCTTCATGAAGCTGACTACAACTCCTGTAGTGAGAGCAATGACCTTCACTAAGCAGGTGTTCCAGGATATAGTTCTTCCCATCAACAAGCTCGAGGAACAGATTAACAAGAGCGAGGAACTTTTTGATACATATCCTGTTCTAGTTTATCCTTGCAGGTTCGATATTCTTGATAACAATGGATCAAACTAAACTTCATTTTCTTTGAATTAATTAAAAATATTTCACATTTTTATACACAAGTCCTTTTTTTCATAAACTATTGGAAAGAAAAAGTTTTTAATTCTTTATTACCAAGTACCATCAATCATTTAACATCAAACATTATCAGTGACAAAGGAAAGCTTTTAAATTAATTGAAAATTAACATTAAAATAATTCCGTTCAGTCCTTTTCACGGCTGATGCCTCAAAAATAATTTAGAATTTATGACCATGGGAAGCATGTGGGTCAACTCCGACCTCCTAGAGAAGATCAAATGGTTCCAGGTATATCAGGGTTGAAGGGGAACATAGTATTAATGGTTTCAGGTATATCAGGGTTGGGAGGGAAAATAGTTTTAATGGTTCTAGGTATACGAGGTTTGGGTAAGAACACAGTATTAATGGTTTCTGGTGTATCAGGGTTGGGTAGGAACATGGCATTAATGGTTTCAGGTATATCAGGGTTGGGAGGGAACATGGCATTAATGGTTTCAGGTATATCAGGGTTGGGTTGGAACATGGCATTAATGGTTCCAGGTATATCAGGGTTGGGTAGGAACATAACATTAATGGTTTCAGGTATATCAGGGTTGGGTTGGAACATAATTTTATTGGTTCGATGTATATCAGGGTTGGGAGGGAACATAGTTTTAATGGTTCTAGGTATATCAGCGTTGGGTGGGAACATGGTATTAATGGTTTCAGGTATATCAGGATTGGGTGGGAACATGGTATTAATGGTTTCAGGTATATCAGGGTTGAAGGGGAACATAGTATTAATGGTTCCCGGTATATCAGGGTTGAAGGGGAACATAGTATTAATGGTTCCCGGTATATCAGGGTTAAAGGGGAACATAGTTTTAATGGTTCCAGGTATATCAGGGATGGGTGGGAACATGGCATTAATGGTTCCAGGTATATCAGGGTTGGGAGGGAACATGGCATTAATGGTTTCAGGTATATCAGGGATGGGTGGGAACATAGTATTAATGGTTCCAGGTATATCAGGGTTGGGAGGGAACATAGTTTTAATGGTTCCAGGTATATCAGGGTTGGGTGCGAACATAGTATTAATGGTTCCAGGTATATCAGGGTTGAAGGGGAACATAGTATTAATGGTTCCCGGTATATCAGGGTTGGGAGGGAACATAGTTTTAATGGTTCCAGGTATATCAGGGTTGGGTAGGAACATGGCATTAATGGTTTCAGGTATATCAGGGTTGGGAGGGAACATGGCATTAATGGTTTCAGGTATATCAGGGTTGGGTTGGAACATGGCATTAATGGTTTCAGGTATATCAGGGTTGGGTTGGAACATAATTTTATTGGTTCGATGTATATCAGGGTTGGGAGGGAACATAGTTTTAATGGTTCTAGGTATATCAGGGTTGGGTGGGAACATGGTATTAATGGTTTCAGGTGTATTAGGGTTGGGTGGGAACATGGTATTAATGGTTTCAGGTGTATTAGGGTTGGGTTGGAACATGGTATTAATGGTTCCAGGTATATCAGGGTTGGGTTGGAACATGGTATTAATGGTTTCAGGTATATCAGGGTTGGGTGGGAACACAGTATTAATGGTTTCTGGTGTATCAGGGTTGGGTGGGAACATAGTATTAATGGTTCCAGGTATATCTGGGTTGGGTGGGAACACAGTATTAATGGTTCCAGGTATATCTGAGTTGGTTGGGAACATGGTATTAATGGTTTCAGGCATATCAGTTCTGAGTGGGAGCACAGTATTTATGGTTCCTGGTATAACAGGGCTGGGTGGGAACATAGTTTTAATGGTTCCAGGTATATCAGGGTTGGGTGGGAACAGAAAATTAATTTTAACAATCAAATTAATTAGGAACAAACTACGGAATGTTTAATGATCTGGGAGTATATGGAGTTCCAAGGGATGTGAGAGAAAGAAGAAGATGGGATGCTGTCTCAGCTATGAGGAAAATGGAGGCTTATACAAGGTGAAGGAATTGGATTTTTATTTTAAGTAAATATGGAGCAAAGTGTTGGATGGTGCCACATCATGTACGTTGATACTGGATAATTTTCCGAATAATGTGTTTAATAATATATCTTTTTGTACTGTAAAGTGTACAGGAGTAATGTACGGTGTACGGGATAGTTGAAGGATACCATTTCATGTAAACGTATACATTAATTTCTTGACTACGTTTTCAATAATACATTTTTTACTACTGAACAGTATTGTTCAAGGATACCAAGGATAATTCTGAGACCATATGTTCAATTATAAATATAATAATATTATTGTACAGGAGTGTTGGAGGATATCATTTCATGTACGCGGATACATTCCTGGACCGTGAAGAGTTTAATGAAATGTTTGATCTCACTCAATATGAGAAAGTTCGCAGAAAATATCACGCAGAAGGTATTAGAAACGTCAAATATCACGGAGAAGGTATTAGAAACGTTAAATATCACGCAGAAGGTATTAGAAACGTCAAATATCACGTAGAAGGTATTAGACACGTCAAATATCACGCAGAAGGTATTATGAAACGTCAAATATCACGCAGAAGGTATTAGAAACGTCAAATATCACGCAGAAGGTATTAAAAACGTCAAATATCACGCACAAGGTATTAGAAACGTCAAATATCACGCAGAATGTATTAGAAACGTTAAATATCACGGAGAAGGTATTAGAAACGTCAAATATCACGTAAAAGGTATTAGAAACGTCAAATATCACGCAGAAGGTATTAGAAACGTCAAATATCACGCAGAAGGTATTAAAAACGTCAAATATCACGCACAAGGTATTAAAAACGTCAAATATCACGCTGAAGGTATATAGAAACGTCAAATATCACGCAGAAGGTATTAGAAACGTCAAATATCATGCTGAAGGTATTAGAAACGTCAAATATCACGCAGAAGGTATCAAAAACGTCAAATATCATGTTGAAGGTATTATAAACGTCAAATATCATGCTGAAGAAATTAGAAACGTCAAATATCAAGCAGAAGGTATTAAAAACGTCAAATAAAGGCAATTTCAAGTGATCTTTCATTTCTATTGAGTGGCGTGTTCGATCCACGAAGGTCCCCCTAAAAGCATCTTCTCTTTGAAATTTTTATAATTCAATTTTGGTTTCTCTTTGAACTAACTCAGATTAAAAGAAAGAAATATTCAGAATGAAACACTTTTAACCCCGAAAAACCGCAATTTTTTACATTTTGAAAAAAAATAATGATTAGAGTATGCCGTTGTGAATCGGCCTTGCCCATTTTTTAATGAAAGACCACTTGGAACTACAACGACAATCCCTTTAAAATCTGATTTTTAGAACTTTTATTTTTTCTATTTGTCAAAGGAGTTTTTTAGATAGATTTTATTATGATCTTATATAATCTTTTCTTTGGTCCACCCCTTCAATATCAGCTTTTAAATTCCTTTAAAATAATCTCTGAAAGGGTTGCTTTACAGAAAAATGTATCTATCTAAAAACCAATGAGACACAAGACAACAGTAATACTCTAATAATAAGTTATTTTATCTATGATTTGATGAAATATGCTTGTTTATGCATATTGTATGTTGTCAGTGTATATTTATCCTCATTTAAAATTATAATTAATCAAAAAATATTTTAGGGGCATTTCCTCATGTTTATGATAAGACAAAGCCTGAGGTTGATGTTGTGGCAATTGGGAAAGCGTACATGGATCCTCTTTCATAATTATGTACACGTGGTGACGTGTAGTACTAGCTACGCACTTGGAAACTGTGCGTCAATAATTACTTAAATGAATTGAATAATATTTACTATTTGTATAATAATTAAAAAAATTATTAATTGAATTTCATTAAAATCGTCTTCAGATTTTAAATATTTATTCAAAAATTTCGCCACTACGGATTTTCGATTTGGACTGAAGATTATAGTACATTTATATAGAGATTGAACAATGAAGAAAGTTATTTCATATCTTATTTCTTCCAAATGTTTTTTCTCCAATAATTAGCACAAATGGAAACGATCTCAATTTCTGGAAAAAGTTTTTCAATTTCACTGATTTCTAAATTTTAAAAATCCTACAATTTTATGGCAAATGAACAAAAGTTAAAAATAAATATTTTTGACATGGCATTTGTTCACACATTAGCTCTGAAAAAATCAAAATACTCCCAAATTTTTATTATTTTTCAAGATATTTTAAGAATGAAAAAAAAACAGTTAACAAATTTATTTTCAATATATAAAATTTTAAAACAACAAGAAGTATAAAAATATGTATGAGTATAACATTTAATAATAAGTAACGGATTCTGAGATTCTACTTTTATCCTCTAAAACTGACGTGACTTTAAATGATGCTCCTAGTGGAGGTACGTTGTGCATGATAAGGATTGATTTCGAAGTGACCCATAATAGACTTCCACCATTGTGCTGAAAACAAAACAAAAAATACCAAGTTACTAATGAAAAAGAAATTACATAATTTATTTACAATTGCTTTGAAGGGAAGTTAAGGGAATTTTACTTTACAAAGGGTTCTGCGCTATGTATGGATAAGTAAAATAGTTGTTAAACAATTTTATCGTCTTTTAAGATAAAATTCGTCATTTTTTCATAAAACTTCGAGGAAAGGGATGTTTTTGCATTTAAGTAAGTGACAGTTGAGTAAATTAACTTTCCGCCGTTTGGGGAATCATGCAGGTCTGTGTTGTTGGCGAAAAATTCTAAAAAAAGATTTAATGGTTTAAAAATTATCAAAACTGTCGTTTTACCTGGAAGAAAGTTGATAAAAGGATCTCGTAGAAGAAGGTTGACATTCAGTTCTTTCAACTCCTAGAACAGTCATTAAATATTTAATCAGAAATATTAAGAAAGGACAGAACCAGGATACTACTGCAGTATATACTTGCGCACATGTCCAAATCTTTTTAAACGAATAAAAGGGCTGAAAAATCCTAATCCCTAATCCTAATATTATTGGAACAGGATCGAGATCAAGAATAGATATGATTGGGGCAGGATGAAGATCAAGAATGGATATGATTGGAGCAGGATTAATATCAAGAATGGATATGATTGGAGCAGGATTAATATCAAGAATTGATATGATTGGAGCAGGATTAAAATCAAGAATGGATATTATTGGGACGGGATCAAAATCAAGAATGGATAGGATTGAAACAGGATAGAAATCAAGAATAGATATAATAAGAACAGGATCGAGATCAAGAATGGTTATGATTGGAACAGGATCAAAATCAAGAATTGATTGGATTGGAACAGGATTGAGATCAAGAATAGATATGATTGGGACAGGATCAAGATCAAGAATGGATATGAGTTGAACAGGATCAAGATCAAGAATGGATATGATTGGAACAGAACCAAGATCAAGAAAGGATATGATTGGAACAGGATCAAGATCAAGAATGGATATGATTGGAACAGAACCAAGATCAAGAATGGATATGATTGGAACAGGACAAAGATCAAGAATTGATATGATCGGGACAGGATCAAGATCAAGAATGGATATGATTGGAACAGGATAAAGATTAAGAATGGCTATGATTGGAAAAGGATAAAAATCAAGAATGGATATGTTTGGAACAGGATCAAGCTAATGAATATGATATTAACATGATTTAGATCAAGAATGGATATGATCGGGACAGGATCAAGATCAAGAATGGATATAATTGGAACAGGATCAAGATCAAGAATGGATATGTTTGGAACAGGATCAAGCTAATGAATATGATTATAACATGATTAAGATCAAGAATGGATATGATCGGGACAGGATCAAGATCAAGAATGGATATGATTGGAGCAGGATCAAGATCAAGAATGGATATGATTGGAGCAGGATCAAGATCAAGAATGGATATGATACAAGATAAAAAAGATTAGGAAAAGTAAAGTAAATTACCTTTACACCACCCAGTTATTCCTCCACTTACTAAAGTGGGATCTACAACCTAAAAATTATTGAATATAAAGATTATTAAATATAAAAATTATCAAATATAAAAATCATGTATTGATACATAACTGAAACATAAAGTTATTTGTTAAAGAAATTATTATATAGAAAATAATTCAGTTATTTGATAATAATCAATTATTAACTTAGTCAATTAATCTTTTATATTCTTAACCTATTTGTTAAAAAATATCAATATTTTCTTGATCCATTTATTAATTAGCCAATATTCTTATTCTCTTACATGCACAACCAGAAAACTCTAGAATAGGAAGACGACTTTTAGACTCGGACTTTAAATAGTTTAGATAACATGAGAAGCAGCAAATGTAGAGTTTAAACAAATCCATTTCCCTGAATAAATGATTAAACCATAGATAATTAAATAAACATAGATAGCTCAAGGTACTAATGCAAGGAAAGTTAATTGTAGTTGCGTATACTCTGCGTACATATTGAAACCAGTTCTCTCTGGGCGGAATTTTTTAAACAAAAATTGATGCATCAGTGTTCGTTTAGTATCCGAGGTGGATAAAAGCATTTATTTTTTATAATTTTGATAATTCTCATAATAGTTTCCTATGACCAGAATATTTCACTGCTGTACAAAAGATGCGTACACCTCTGAAATAACTTTCATCATGCATTATAACCTTGAGAAATGTCATCTTATGCGCAATCTATCTAAACATTTATCTTGGTCTTTACCAAGTCACAAGAAAATTTAATTGCGTTGCAACAACATCAAATATACTTAATTATTGTTTAATATTGTTATCGTCTTCTTATTCCATAGTTTTCTAGTTTAAATTTAAATTTGTTTAATAAATTTAAATTTGTTGTTTTATTATCTTAATGTAAATTTTGAATTTAATATTTTTTGACAATTTATTGATATGGATTTATTATTCATACAAACTCATTAATCTAAGTATTTTTAAATTTGAATTATTTAAACTTATATATTAGATAAAATATACTTAATCCATAATTTGGTATCTCCGTGAACCTACCCTATCAGTTGTCTGTAGTCCCATAAACCTGGGCGGAATGATATAATCTGTATACTGGAGTGCCAGGATTTGTAATCTTCTAACTATCTCAGGTTGAGACGGGGCAAGGTTCTCCTGCTCTCCTGCGTCCTGCTCCAGGTTGTATAGTTCAACAATCTGAGCATCCAGGTTTATTCCATTCTCATCCTGAACAAAGGAACTAATAACAAAACTATACTACTTTTCCTTGTATTTTGGCAACCTGATATAAAGTGATGTAAACCTTCATTCGAACTTTGACTTTTTGATCTATACGACATCGGGTGAAAAGAGTAAGAAGGGAAAAAGAATTTGTAATATGCTACTTTTGTCAAATTAAAGAAAATTCATGGGCCAACTCTGTTCTTAAACCTTTGTTTACAGTTCATTAAAAAATGTATGTTTCAAATTTTACAAATCAAAATTACTATTTAACCAAGGGTACGACGCGACCTAGAAGCTTTGACAGATTTTATTTATTCATTTTCCTCAAACTTCTAAAGATATGTAATCTAAGATAAATGTTGTCCAACCTTGGCATCTCTGTATGATCTGTGAAGAGATTTTGATTGGCCCCAAATCAGCTTGTAATCACCTTCTCTTATTCCAATCTAGAAGAGAAATGAAGTCTAATAAGAGATTGTTTGAAATTAACATTTTTACACGTTTTTGATCATCTAGAATTTTTTTGCGTGTAAAATATCTTTTTATCGAAATAAAATTGTCAAATATTATCATTTTTGATAATACCATTTCCACTCAAAGTAATTCATTTAGCTAAATTCTAACATTTTATTCTGCACAAGTTTGCTCTTTTTTCGCAATGCAAAATCTTGATATTGGCAGAAGATGTACTATTTTCTTACATATATTCTCAGAGCCAATACTATCATGAAAACAAATTCATGAAATTTTTCAAAAATAATTTAACCCCGTTTACCTGAAATTTTGGTTGAAAGGTTGAGCTTCTAAGAACAGATTGTACAAAGTTATCATCAAGATTGTAAATCATTGTATTCCTTGGACCCGACCCATTCTGGACCCCTTGCTCAAGGGCGGACCAGTGGTCCACCCCGTCAATTGGCAAAGACCTAGAAATAGAGGAATCGAGGCTTTGTCATAATTAAACTCTGATTTTATAATCCCCATATCTTTGCAATCCGATGTCATGGACCTATAATTCAACATTGAATTGTTTTTAAATATTTTTAATCACCTAGTGTTTGTTCCTACAGCTGAAAGTATTGTGGGAAGAATATCAACAAAATGAATCATCTTGGAGTATCTAGAAAAAAAAACTTGATGTCGTCTTTAACCATAAATTTGTTCCCAGACCTTTAGGTGTACACTGTACACGGAGACGACACTAAAATCTCTATTTACCTATAGTTCATATGGTCTCAATAAATTCACAAAAATGTAAAAATCGGCAAACAAAACTTTGTGCTATATTTCAATATAAAAAAATTCTCCTTTGGTCAATAGAAAAAAGAAATCTAGAAATTTTAAAAATTGACTTCAAGTCTAAAAAATCCGGGTCCTAAATCTCCAGCAAAGAATAAATATTTTCCAGTAAAAAAATTTAAACATTTTGTTTATTTCTTGTAGATGATAAAATCAAAGAAAATTGTATAACACTGTATTCCATTATGAATTAGTTGGGAGTTCAAGTCTCCGTAATATATCCTTCACTACTATTTTACCTTTGATGCTTTTAAAAAATGTCTGATGATTTTGCTTGAGTTAAAGAAACAAAATATCTTTTTTTGGATTTGGAAAGTTTAAATTTCTCTAATTCATTGTTTAAAAGTATACCTTGATCCGAATCTCTCCAGTTTTGGACTAAAAATGAATCCGGGAACCTAAACAAAATAATTTATTAACAAAACACATATTTCTTAATTTCACTAAAGAAATTGCGTACCTTAGTACCTCCCTCGTACACCGACCCTTTAGACCCCTTAAGAGGGTAGTTAGGGTTGTCTATTTCTGGTGCTCTGAAATAGGTATATCTATAGCAAAAAAAACTTAAATAAATTCGTGTGGAAACAAACATAGAACACCATTAGTTTCTATCTTTGCAAACTGATGGCGCGCAAACCTTTGATATTTCAGACAATGAATTCTCTTGATCAAAAAGTCGAAAAGAAATGATTTATTGCCACAAATTCAAATTTTTCAACCCCTAAACCTTTGCAACCCGATGAAGTAGATCTTTGATATTTTTAAACTATGAATTCTGTTGATTAAAAATTGAAACCTCAAAGGTTTGCACCATCAGGTTACAAATATGAAGAAATCACACAATTTTAGTTTGTGGGAAAAACTCAACTCCTTTGTAATATAAAATTGAACACCATATGGTAAAGGGATTATAAAATTCAAACGTTTGGCGAGTTATCAGTTTCTTTTAAAACTCAGGCATTTTTTTCTTCATTGTATTCGATATTCGTGTAGTAATTAGTAATTAGTAATTTGTAATTAGTAACTAGTAATTATACTTACTCGATTACCGAAAATAATTTAATTGATTGATTGATTAAAAATGTTCTTACTCTGAAGTAAAAGCTCTAGCTCCGTTATCAGAGATGAACAGAATGATAGTATTCTCGAACTCTTCAGTCTTCTTCAGACCTTCAACTATCTAAACAAATACAATAAAAATGCAAACTTAGTGATGACTTTTGAACTGTCTTCGATTCGAACAATTTTGTCTTATAAAAAACATTAAATGACGACTCTTAAAACTAGAGGTTTGAGCTCTTAGACTCAAAAATTGAAAAGTTATTATTTTAAATCCAGCGAAAGAGTTGGGCTTTAAACTATACGTGAGTAGTTTAGTTACATTTACATAATTGGAACCTGAACCTGAACCTGAACCTGAACCTGAACCTGAACCTGAACCTGAACCTGAACCTGAACCTGAACCTGAACCTGAAACCTGAACCTGAACCTGAACCTGAACCTGAACCTGAACCTGAACCTGAACCTGAACCTGAACCTGAACCTGAATCCGAACCTGAATTTGAACCTGAATCTGAACCTGACCCTGAACCTGACCATGACCGGTCTAAAACTAAACCTATGAGCAACCAAAAATAAAATAACTCCTCAGGAATTTTAAGATGGTTTTATAAAAGATATAGCTGAGAAATCTAAATTTGAACCAATAAAAACCAGGAATAAATCCTCAGGAATTTTTGGCTCAAAAAATTAAAAATTCAGAACTGTAAACATAAATCCCTTTGTAATCTATAAAAAATTATTCCATTTCCGAAACCAGCCATTAACTACACCTAGAACCCAAACCCGAAACCAGCCATTAACTACACCTAGAACCCAAACCCAAAACCAGCCATTAACTACACCTAGAACCTGAACCCGAAACCAGCCATTAACTACACCTAGAACCTGAACCCGAAACCAGCCATTAACTACACCTAGAACCTGAAGTTTTCAGATTGATCATATGAATTTTTAATTTTTAAACAAGGTATCAAACAAATATTGTCAATCCATAATGGATCTCAGTCCCAATCAGTTATGTAATCAAACATAACATTTATTAATAAATATTTAAATTTAGAAAAATGGAGATTTATACAATAATTTAACCCAAATTTTAAGGAGCGGATCATTACCATTCCGACTGCGTCATCTAGTTCTTGAATTTTTCCTCCTCTCTTCTCCTGGATCTTCTAGAAATTATATTTCAATTAAAAAAGACTTTTCTTTTTCATTAAACACCCCCCCCCCCCTCCTTCTCTACTTCCAATTTACAGTTTAAAGTTAAACAGAATGACAAAAACTTTAAATGGGATTTTTTTTGCAAATTGTCTTTTTTTACATTTCATACTTAAAGTTCTATTTCTTTTTTCATCTTACAACATTTCAAAAAAAAATTTCTTTTAAATTTTTATTACTTTTATATTTAAAATTTGTTTACGCATATTTAAGACGGTCAATATATTTTTTTTAAACATTTGATTTACTCTTTGATCAACAACCACCAAAGATTAATACATTTAATCATTATCTTTTTGGCGAAGACATCTTTTTTTATATACTTATGGCATGAGTTCTCAACATACAACATTTTTTGATTTTTATATTTTACTTGTTTGACTCACCTTGATCATTTGTCCTCTTTGCTTGAGCTTGAGTGTTCTTGGATACATCTTACTCAGGAAGCTCATGTACAGAAATACAGGAATATTCTTATCCTGTTCAATTAGAACGTATTATTATATGTCATGTACAGAAATACAGGAGCATTCTGATCCTATTCAATTAGAACATATTATTATATTTCATGTACAGAAATACAGGAGTATTCTGATCCTATTCAATTAGAACATATTTGTATATTTCATGTACAGAAATATAGGAGTATTCTGATCCTATTCAATTAGCACATATTATTATATTTTATGTACAGAACTACAGGAGTATTCTGATCCTGTTCAGTTGGAACATATTATTATATTTCATGTACAGAAATACAGGAGTATTCTGATCCTATTCAATTAGCACATATTATTATATTTTATGTACAGAACTACAGGAGTATTCTGATCCTGTTCAGTTGGAACATATTATATTTCATGTACAGAAATACAGGAGTATTCTGATCCTGTTCAGTTAGAACATATTAGTATATTTAATGTACAGAAATACAGGAGTATTCTTATCCTGTTCAATTAGAACATATTATTATATTTCATGTACAGAAATACAGGAGTATTCTGATCTTGTTCAATTAGAACATATTGGTATGTAATGTATCATGTACAGATATACAGGACTACTCTTATTCTGTTCAATCAGAACATATTAGTATATTTCATGTACAGAAATACAGGAGCATTCTTATCCTGTTCAGTTAGAACATATTAGTATATTTCATGTACAGAAATACAGGAGTATTCTTATCCTGTTCAATTAGAACATATTAGTATATTTCATGTACAGAAATACAGGAGTATTCTTATCCTGTTCAATTAGAACATATTAGTATATAATGTATCATGTACAGACATACAGGAGTATTCTTATCCTGTTCAATTAGAACATATTAGTATGCAATGTATCATGTACAGAAATACAGGAGTATTCTTATCCTATTCAATTATAACATATTAGTATTTTTCATGTACAGAAATACAGGAGTATTCTTATTCTATACAGTTAGAACATGTTAGTATATCTTATTTACAGAATTACAGGTGTTTTCCAACCCTGTGCAGCTAGAACAATTTAGTCAGACCGAATTATATTTTCAATAAATGTGGAACTAACATCTACTTTTTTTACTCTACAGAGGTTTGGTCCATCACCATCATCATTCTTAAATAAATTTCATGTACAGAAGTACAGGAGTTTTCAAAACCTGTTCAGTTAGAACATATTTAATTAGTATTTTTCATGTACAGAAAGGATTTTTAGTTGAAAAAATATTTTTTTTCAACTTAAAGGGTATAAGGTACAGGGCGGAAAAAATGTCGGGTTGGGATAAAAAAAATCTAAAATAGCCCATAACTTCTCTGCGACTAAAGCTACAGATCTAAAAACTTTAGTTTTGAAAAGCTCGTGAAAAATGCACTTTGATTTATGTTAAAAACAAAAGAAATATTTTTTTCATTTTTTTGGCCCTTTTTTAGGCATTTTTTCAACCCTCCCAAAGTAATAAAGTTATCGGTCTATTTATTTTTTCTATGAGCTGGCCTTGACAAATTGGGCTATGAACATGCATTTCAACCCAATACCTATTCTCTAAGGCCTTTTTTAGGCTTTACAACAAGCAGAATTTGAAAAGACAGTTTTTGAAATACATTTATAAAAATAAAAGAAAGCTAACATGGTTTAGTAATGGAAGACAGTAGAGATTTCATTTTTTCTTATTTATAAAATCAAACATCCATGTAAATGAAATTTAGGAGGTCTCTACTCTCTAAAGTTTCTAAAGTAAGAGAAGAGATCCAAAAAACTAAAGTTTCCCCCAAGGAGAATGGAAATTAAAGATGACTTTTATTATTAATCCCATAATATTTATGATCCGTGCATCTGCATACCTTGTTTTCAAATATCTCAACAACTTTCTTGGCATAGTAAGAGGAATCGTAGAGGTCTTTGTTCTTATTCTTTTTTGTTTTTTTCTTCTTCATTTTTTCTTCTTTCTTCTTGTTTCTTATTTCCTTCTTCTTTTTATTTTCTTCCTTCTTCTTCATGTGATCAATCTTGGAGTCATCTGTATTTGTTTTCGGTCGAAGCTCTTTTAATTTTCTTGATGTCCTTTAAAAGTAGTTTAATTACATTTAGATAAAAGAACGCTAATGAATTGGTAAATGGTAAAAGAAAAACATGATTTTGTGCGCATGCGGTGCGCTTATTAAGCTTATTGATTTAGATTTTTAAAAATCTCTTTGCCACCCCCCTCCCCCATCAGAAAATACATAAATTGAGCCTCTAAAAACGTATGTGGCATAATTGTTATAACTGATAAATCATTTAGATAAATATATCTACAAATTCTTTATAACATCACTGCATGGAGGCAATGGGTGTCCCAGGAAACATGACAGTTGAGAGACGACTTCAAGGTTGATCTTTGAAACAATTTGCGCCATTTATTCGTCAACTTTATTACATTTATCATTAATATATTTTATTAATATAAAATATATTTTATAATACTTGAACAAAAATTACACAATTCCCCCATGTCTGGCCACCCCGGACCTATCAGAGTGAGAGGTATTTGAATCTTCTATTTGAAATCATACGCTTTTTGGTCTATAATTTAACAATCTTTAAACTTATGAATTTTATACTTTTTAATTCAAAACGTATATGCTGAAAAAAAGTATATAAAAAATGGCTAACAAATTATGTATAATGGGTCAAATTGTGATCGAAAGTCACAGCTTCATGGAATATTGACAGAATAATAAAATGCACGTGTGACAATTACAAAAAGTGGTCTGCCATTTTTGTTCTTTGAATAATACCGGAGATATAAAGAATTTAGTTCAAATATAAATTTTAAAATAAAACAAAAGTTGTCTTTATATCTGGCTGTAAACTTTTGAACGCACTGAAAAGGCAGACCGCATTTTGGAAGTGCCAGGACTTGTGTGGTTTATGAATTATGAGCCGACATTTATTTCAAAGATTCAAGACGACCTTCACTTCATCTCTCACCTGTCCTGTGGTGTGGAACACCCTGTATTAGTAATTATTACCTTGAAAGAGTGTAAGAATCTTTTTCAATGTCGAAATCAAAGTTTTCTTCTTCAACTTCTTCTTCCGCGTTAAAATATTCATCATTATCTTCTTCTTCTTCTCCTTCTTCTTCTTCCAAACTCCTAGTATTCCTATTCTTTCTAATCTTCCTTGTTCTTTTCTTCTCTGTCTTCTTCTTTTTCTCCTTCGAAATTTCTCTTAATTAAAAAGAATGCAAACAAAAATTTATTTTATTTCTTAATCATCTTTTTAAAAATAAAATTTTCTTACTTTTCAAGATTATTATTATCAGCCAGACTTTCAGTATCGTCTCCAACAAACAAACCATGAAAAGTGTCGAATCCTCTAAAACCATAATTTTCAAAATAATTTTGTAATTTCAAAAAACTATCCAATTAAAATCCACAACAGTACAACTTTATCTTGACATTTACAATTACAAAAGAAATTTCTACGTTTTTCTAAAAACCTGTAATTTTAAATCGACTTATGAAGTTGTGAGTGAAAGAAGAATGAAAAGATGATAAATATGGCGAGAAAAAGTTCATTGTGAATTGCTGGTGGCACTTTTTCAATTAGCGGTCACTTAAAGTTTACCATGTGGACGATGAACAGCGCATGCTAATTTTTCGAAAAAGATTATTTTAAAATGTTTCCTCTGTGTTGGTGTGTAATCTTCAGAGCAGAAACCAAGATGCCATTTTCCTAAATTAATCAAACTCAATATTTTTAAAAACTTAAAAAAAGAGAATTATTCATAAAGTTGTTTTCCCTGAAATCCACTTTCTGTAATTAACTTTAACAGTTCTAGCCAGAAGGACAATTACTTTAATTTTATTCAAAAAACATGGAAAAATGCCAAAAATGTTTTTTTTTCAGAAGTTCGATGACATGCAAAAAGATGGCTAATTATAAATGTTTTGACTCTGGGCCTACCTAGAGCATGGGTCTGATATCCCTCTTTCTTCATGTACTGAGGCAGTATAGTGAGATTTAAAGGTAATCCATCCGGGACATGTTTACCAAATCCACGCTAAAAAATTATTTGTGTGTTACAAAGAAAGGCTTTGCGACAAAGTCTGATTTTCCAATCCCTATATCTTGGCAACCCAATGTGGCATAAAGTATAGACCTTTAAGATTTCAAACTATATAAATCTTTAGATCGAATATTTAAGTTTTTAAATCGGAAAGGTTTACACAATCAGGTTACTAGGATTAGACAATTTCAGTTTCCGGCAAAGACGCATTTACTTTAGGAATTGAGAATAATTAGTTGTAAATTAGTTTTAAACTATCTTTACATTGTTAATAATTTGATATCAAATATTCACCCTTTTTAAAATAAAAAATCATGCTTTGGACAACTTAGAAAAACGTAAAACTTTTGTAAATCAATGCTAAGATCAACAATAGACAGAAAAAAAATGGAATTGAGTGTTTATCACAGAGTACACAGACTCAAATTTTCTAATCTCTTTACTTGTGGAACCTGGCAGTGCAAAACTTTAATATTCCAAACTTATTTGATCTAACAAAATGCATAGCCTGAAATGTCCAAGGTCTACGACATTGGGATGCAAAGATTAAGGGATTAGAAAAAAAGTGTTTGTGGCAAAGATTTTTTTTAACGTGAATTATTATTGTTTAAACTCTAAGACCAAGAAATATAAATTGTCTATAAATTTTGTACTCTCCTTTTATATTTTATTGTTCCTCCTGCCCCCAAGTGTGCAGTGTATACCTGAAGACCATATCTGAAAGGATAGATAGCGGTTAGAAGAGCTGCTCTGGAGGGAGTACATGTCGGTAGAGAGTACAGATTATCCAGAATAACACCCTTTAGCGGATTTTATAAACCCAAATAGTACAATAGGTGGTAACACGACGTCACAAGTGTCAAATATAACAAAGAAAACGAAATTTTCTCACATTATTTGACATGTTTTTCAAGATTAAATAAAAAAGTGTAAAAACAGAAAATAAATAACACATAAAATTGCACTTTTTTCACTGTAAGATAAGCTCTTTACTCTAAAATTATCATTTATCACTATTATTAATAATTTTGTCGGACACAATACTGAGTTGACACTTGTCATGTAAGAATACAGCTGTACTGAGAGTGTACAAATACTACGTGTTGCCATCTATTGTACTAGAATCCATTTGTATAAACCCATGTTCCGTTGCCATTTTACTATTAAAGTAGATTTCTCGACCCAACCCCCCTAATTACTATTGAAAAAACGTTAACCAAAATTTTAAAACACGAATACTTTAATTTAACTTTTTTATCAGCTTAAGGGTCGGAAACAAACATTTTACAGGGGTGAACCAACTCAGAATTTCTCTCCATTTTCCGTAGCCTCCCCCCCCCCCCCAACTGACGTAGAGAGAGCAATTTTCTAGGGGTGTATTGATGTAAAGATGGTCCGGTGTTACAAATAAATACAAATTATATTAAGGTTTAGAAACTCCATATTCCTGATCTGCTAAACTATCCAGATTTGGTGTAGATGTCTCAGGATTGTTCCAACCAACGTCATTCACACCTAAACAAGAAATCCATAAATATTTTAGATTATTTTAAACGACTGGATTAGACATCATCTCTGCGAACTGAAATATCCACATTCTAACGAATTTTGCCAAATATATTCAAAATAAACTAAACAACAAGAACTTTACTGTTTCAAAATACTCAAATCCAAAACGTGAAAAAAATAATTGAGTCATTAAATTGAATTTTTTTCAATTGCTTTTAAATTTTTTTGCAGCATAAAAGGAATTGAGTCTTTGCCACAAACTATTATTTTCTAATCCCTATACATTGCTAACCCATTGTCGTAGACCTTAGATATTTCAGACTATGAATTCTGTTAGATTAAATAGTTAAAGTTTGAAGTAAATAAGGAATTACTAAATTGTGGCAAAGACTCAATTCCAAACAAAGAAAATGAGATGTTAGTATAACTTCCAATTTAAAAATAAATGGAGTAATTGAAGAACGTTTACTGATATTTCAACGTACGATCAGCATTGCATGGACAATTTTAAATTATTATCGCTGCATTATTTTTTATTAAATGTTAATAAAAATTTTGCAGTTGGCTGATTTAAAAAAAAATCAAAAATCAATCATCCAAAATCTCAAAAGTGTACTGCGTTTTTTCGGAATACAAAAAATCATTCTGAATTTGTTTACATTTTTTGGGAAATTTGTGTTTTGTTGTTGGAGAAAAGATTTTCATGATAGGTTCAGTTTTAGTAATGGTACCGGGGGGAGGGGTGGGGGGTTCAATGCACAGATCCTCCTCCTCCCACCCCTCGTTAAACTGGGGCATTAAATTAGATAAATGTTAGTTTTCAGTTTAGGGGGAGGGAGGGGTGAGGGGGGGATTTTTTTCCCTTCCCGCATTCCGGCATAATCTGAATTCTAATCCAGGACATTTAATACATTTTACAGTTTGAAACAGTTTAACTGTATCATTGTCTACTTTATAATATATAATTTATTATCTCTCTAAAATAAACATTTAACAAGGGGCAGTGATGACTTNCCCCCTTTAAATTTGAATAATGAAAATTTCCAATACTGAAATGTAATCTTGAATTAAAAGTCAGAGTCAAGATATATCAGAGGCCGAATTTTAAGAATTTGAGCCGCGGCTTAAATTTCAGACGCGACTCAAATCTGTTTGGTTTGTTCAAGATTTAATCCAGCACTCAATTAGAATCGGTTTTTGGAGAATTGGAGATGCGTCTCAAATTCCTTAAATTAGGACTCAGATTATATTTATAGTTATATTTATAGTATTTAGTTTCAAATACAAAATAACAATGTATGATGGTTTCACTAAAAACAAAACACAAAGGAAAATTTAATATCACCCATTTGAAAATTTGTTCTGTTACTATTGATATTAAAATCTCAACTGAATATATATCCTTTAAGCATTTACAAGTAGATATTTAGTCAGCTCTTAAATAATCCTAATTTTAATTTACAATGCACATGGTTTTAAATACGATCGCAAGTTAAAAATATTCTGTCAGAATTTCGAATAGTTTAGTGAAAGACAAATTAGAAGATTTCTTGAAAATGATTTATTTTGAACTTTAACTTTAAATGATATTTTTGTAATTCTCCTCTTTTGAATTAAACGTAATACAAGTTCACTCTTTATTCAACTATTGGGCCGTTAAGCACTATTTTCCAAGCCTTCCCTAGCCGCAGCGCTCAGCCCTGAAACTTTCGATTTCTATCCTAATTTTCTAATTATCTGAGAGAGAAATATTTATTCAGAAATGTATACGTTATATTCTAGGAAGAGCTATTCTTAAATATTTAATTTTAAAGTAAAAGAAATCATTCATCATACAATGGAATTTTTTCATCATTAGTTTGGGAAGAGTGCGACAGTAGAGAGGGAAATGTGGGAGCCAGGGTAGTGGGGGAGTGAATTTTGGGGTCAGGGGGGAGTGAATTGTGGGTATTAAAAATAATAGCGATACATTCATATTTAGTAATAATGATATTTACCTAAATCGTCTGCAAGTAAAATTAGAACATTAGGTTTCTTGGAACCAATCCTTCCTAGGGCGAGAGAGCTAAAACCTGCAAAAACAAGAAATATAAAAAAAAAAATTTTAAATTTATTTACTAACAATTATTTGAAAGATTTGGGACCGCTCTGTGATAAACTTAGTAACTAATGCCAATCATGTTTGTTCTGTTTTCTAATTAATTTTATCTTGTTTTGATCTTTCATTCATAATGCATCAAACAAAGTATAATTATTAAAAAATGCTTTCATTTCTAAATTAAAAGCTGGGACCCATGATTAGGATTTAGGATTTCAAATAGTCCAAAGAATATGAAGCACAGTAAATATGCAGTGTATAGTATATACACATATACCAGTGAATAAGTTGATTTTCTTGCCATTGGTAAAAGCAAAAAATGTATAAAAGATTAATGCAAAAATCTACATATTATTTAGCTATGTGATAGCAGTATAAATCATAATACACGCACCTCTGCCCCTTTAATAAAAGTAAATTCAACATAAATTTAGCATAAAGTCTGACCGCGTCAACCTTGTTGCACCGGCTAGTCCTGTTGATTGTCTGCTTTATTAACCCAATGTCTGTGCGGTACAGTGCAAACGGGGACCGGAAAGGTTTACCCGGCTTGGAAATTCAAATTTATTACTGCTACCCGTGAATAGTCTTTAGTCAAGAAACTTGGCTAGAAATTGTGAAAATAATAACTGCAGTTGGAATTTTACAAATGTGCCCTGAACATTTTCAAATATATATTATTAAATCTGGAATAAAAAATATAGTTAAAGGATGACTATCAGACCACTATAAATTAACTGGTTATGACTGAAGGGAATCTGGTTTCTAAAGTGAAAAAATCCCTGTGGGGTTTCTAATATTTTCTGGTTCCATTCTTGACGGAAACGTCTTTCAAAACCTTTTCTGAAACTGTTAAGAATTCAAAACCATCTAAACTTTTATTAAAGAAACAAAGGAACTGAATCAAATAGTCTAATCCCTATATCTTTGCCACAAAATCAAATAGTCTAATCCCTATATCTTTGCCACAAAATCAAATAGTCTAATCCCTATATCTTTGCCACAAAATCGAATAGTCTAATCCCTATATCTTTGCCACAAAATCAACTAGTCTAATCCCTATATCTTTGCCACAAAATCAACTAGTCTAATCCCTATATCTTTGCCACAAAATCAAAAAGTCTAATCCCTATATCTTTGCCACAAAATCAAATAGTCTAATCCCTATATCTTTGACTTTAAACTTGATAGAATAAAATTCAAAGTATGAATTGATGTCTACACAACATTTGGCTTCAAAGATATTGAGATTTCAAAATCAGAGTTCAGACTTAATTCCTTTTTACAAATTTTGTCTGGTTTTGCAGTTTTCCAGTTACTGGAAAACTGTCATAAGAAAATGTTTGGGAACAAATGATTCAGACAAAAATGGAAACCTTATGTTTAACCAAGAAATTAGTATCATTGTGAAATACAGGAATATAATAGAAATATTTCTTGCCTGTAAGAAGAAGACTGATGGAGACCACATAATGCATGTCTGGAATGTAAATAATGATTGGCAAGAAAATAATTTTTATACCATCATTTTCCAGCAGGAAAAAATATTTATCAGACCTTAGAAAATAAAATACACACTTTCACAGCGGTGTGTACATTTCAAAATACACACTTTCACTGCAGCTTGTACATTTCAAAATATAAACTTTCACAGCAGCTTGTACATTTTAAAATACACACTTTCACATCAGCTTGTACAATGTACATTTCAAAATACGCACTTTCACAGCAGCTTGTACATTTCAAAATACACACTTTCACAGCAGTTTGTACATTTTAAAATACACACTTTCACAGCAGCTTGTACATTTAAAAATACACACTTTCACTGCAGCTTGTATTTTTTAAAATAAACACTTTCACAGCAGCTTGTACATTTCAAAATACACACTTTCACAGCAGCTTGTACATTTTAAAATACACACTTTCACAGCAGCTTGTACATTTCAAAATGTCAAAAAGCTGTGATTGTGACATAACACAGCTTTTTGTCCTGTTTGAACAATCTTTTCAATAACGAAATAAACTATTGTGGCATTAACAAAACACGAAAACCGTCGTAAACATTAATAGTTTGGAACTTAACATTTTTTGTATTTATTTTAAACCCATGAATTCGGTGTACTTCAATGCCGCACTACTTATAGAAAATAATAAAAAAATTATTTTGTAAAAATGTATTTGCGTTTATTTTAAACCTTCACATTTTACTTTAAACCAGAGAATTTTAGTACAACAAAAGAAGCATTTTCTAATCCCTTTATCGTTCCAACCAAATGTCGTAGATCATAGATTTTTCAAATTACGAATTCTGTAAAATCAAATAATCTAAATTTTAAGTATCAAAGATTTACACCATCAGGTAGCAAAGATGGAGGGATTAAAAATTAAAAAAATTCTCCAAATTGTCACCTTTCACTATTTCTAAAAATGTATTAAAATAACGGACGGTAAACCCTTTGAAAACTGTTGAAGGTTTTAACATTATCATTAATCTATTTGGATCCAACTAGCAGGGCAAAATATAACCTTATAAAAACCTTTTATAATATCAAACCTTTATACAAAGTATTAAGCTACTACAACGTGCAAAAAATTTGTCGTTAAAAAGTTATTAACCCCTGTTTTTATACTTCATGAACTATTTAGATAAATTCACATAATAGACTATCTACTAACGAGAGTACAATAGTATATAATTATAACAAATGTATACGTACAATTTAGACTAATCCCCTTTCAAGGGTTTTAGTGATGGCAAAAAAGGTCATTGCATTGAAATTACTGTTAATGCAATTCTAACCCTGAGTAATAAAGGCCAGGGGTCCGTTTAAAAAAAAATATTTAAAAAAGTCTAACTTTAGATGCAAAACGAGCAGAATAGAAATTTAAGTTTTATGTTCTAGAATTATAAACATCTTCCATAAAGTAACTGTAGACATCATTTCAGAGACTAAACGTTGATCTTTAAACCTTCGTCTGAAAACAAATTTTGCCTTAGAAAAGATGAAGAAAATCTTTGGAATTGGGCAATTTTCAAGCTAGACAAACGACGATATATATCATATGAATGATAAAAGAGAAAGAAAACGAGTTTCTAAAATGTGGTTTAGGGTGGGTCGAAAGTTTTTAATTTTGTAAATCTGATTTTTGCGGCGGATAAAAATATCCAGAGGAAACTCCACGAAAAATGTCCAGAGGAAAGTCCATGAAAAATGACCGGATAAAATGTCCAGAGGAAAGTCCATGAAAAATGGCCGGATAAAATGTCCAGAGGAAAGTCCATGAAAAATGGCCGGATAAAATGTCCAGAGGAAAGTCCATGAAAAATGACCGGATAAAATGTCCAGAGGAAAGTCCATGAAAAATGACCGGATAAAATGTCCAGAGGAAAGTCCATGAAAAATGGCTGGATAAAATGTCCAGATGAAAATCCATGAAAAATGGCTGGATAAAATGTCCAGATGAAAATCCATGAAAAATGACCGGATAAAATGTCCAGAAGAAAGTCCATGAAAAATGGCTGGATAAAATGTCCAGATGAAAATCCATGAAAAATGGCTGGATAAAATGTCCAGATGAAAATCCATGAAAAATGGCTGGATAAAATGTCCAGATGAAAATCCATGAAAAATGGCTGGATAAAATGTCCAGAGGAAAGTCCACGAAAAATGTCGAGAGGAAAGTCTACGAAAAATGCATAGGATATGAACCGAGATCAAACAAAGAAACGATCTCGGTGCGGTTTTTTTCTTTCTAACATTTTTAAAGGAGAATTTGTTTTTAACCACCTGACAAAAATATGATTTTTTATTAATTTTCTTATTTTTTTCTTAGAAAAAAATTTATTTTGCGAATCAATTGGAATTGGAGAAAAGGTTGGAATAAAACAGAAATTTAAAAGATAGTCCTAAAAAGGTCTTTTTGTAAATATTCTGTTTTGAGAGACCGGAACCTGCTTAACGTACTACTACACTCAGAGGCGTATTCAAGGGGGCTATGGGGGCTAAGCCCCCCTGGACATAAAATCTATTGATTTCAGGGGGTTTTCAGGCCCCAGCGGGTGCTAAAAAAAATGTAAGCCCCCTTGGACAAATTCCTAAATACGCCCCTGATTACACTTTTTTTCATCTACTTTATTTTAACTGCCATAATAAATATACTTAATCCTGCCCTACAGATATTGAACTCTTAAATGCATAATAAGAGGTTGAAATAAGCTTCTGTTAGATTTCTTAAACAGGGTCTTGCAAAAAAGGGCTTTGTCAAAAAAAAACACTCGAAAATTTGTTCAGACATTTTAAAACTTGTTGTTCTTCAATTCTAGTATAGTTTTGAAACAATATCTTGTTGTTCTTCAATTCTAGTATAGTTTTGAAAGAATATCTTTTTTTTCCTCTCCGTATTTTCCAAAATTCTAAAAAAAGGTAAGGTCGATAAAAATGGCAATTATAAATTGATTAGATGTGATTGCTCCATCTTAAGAACCATGAAACCATGTCCGATTAGCTGGTTCAGGAAAATTCAGATCTTTTTGTGTCATAAAATGCCACGCTTTGTCTTATCCTTACATGTTCTAAATAGGTAATCAATTTAAATATTCTCACACATGTCAAGTAAATTGGTTCCTGGGGCAGTTTCTAGTTTCTTCACCAGTCTACACCCTTCAAAACCTCTAACTCGACTAAAAATACACTGTGACCAGATACCTACTTTTATTATAACTAGAAACAGGGGTAATCTATTCACACTTTCATTTGAATTTTTAAAAATGTTAAAATATAAAAACTTTTATGTAAAGTCAAGAAGGAGAAATTATATTTTGAAGAAAAAAATTACCCCTGAAACGATGAGGTTTTTAATTGTCTTTACTAATAGATAGATTAGATTAAAAGCTGGGACCCATGATTAGGATTTAGGATTTCAAATAGTCCAAAGAATATGAAGCACAGTAAATATGCAGTGTATAGTATATACACATATACCAGTGAATAAGTTGATTTTCTTGCCATTGGTAAAAGCAAAAAATGTATAAAAGATTAATGCAAAAATCTACATATTATTTAGCTATGTGATAGCAGTATAAATCATAATACACGCACCTCTGCCCCTTTAATAAAAGTAAATTCAACATAAATTTAGCATAAAGTCTGACCGCGTCAACCTTGTTGCACCGGCTAGTCCTGTTGATTGTCTGCTTTATTAACCCAATGTCTGTGCGGTACAGTGCAAACGGGGACCGGAAAGGTTNAGATACATTTATTTTAGCAATAAACGTTATCTTATCTTATCTTATCTTAGACAGGTCGGTTGTGTACATCTGAGCTAAGCTTCACCTCTTCGTTTTATTACTCTATGGAATAAATATTGTTTTGGTTGAGCCTGGGTCTGGAAATGGAAAACGACAATCTAGCTTCTCCACCGGCGTTTCCCCAGCATCTTGAGAGACTGTAGAGAAGTAAGATGCTTATCTCTAACTACTCTTCTCGGGTTTCTCCGGGATAAGGAAGGAACAGGAACTGCAGGAGAGAAATGAGCCTTCTTCTTTGGACCTGTATCTGTCGAATGAGGTGTCAGAAGACTTGGTGGCGGAGACATCAGAGCTGGAGACATGCAGACATCAAAGCTGGAGGTACTGGAGCTGGAGGTTTCTAAGGCAATGGAGGTCTAACAAGGCGAGAGGGATCCTGAGCTGTTACTGGAAACTAGGAGAACACTGGTTTCAATCTATCCACAGACACTGAGTCAGTCTTGAACCAACCTGGAGATTAAAATACTTTTGGGGAACGGAACTGAATTGTTATGGGGTGGAGCAACAGGATTCTTGATGATTTGCTGGATTCGAAATAGATACTCTGGAGAAGGGAGCTCAGGGCTATCTAGAAATTCACAAGGTAGACCTAACGGAGAACCAAACTCAGCCTCAGAAGGTGAAATTGACACACTCCCAGTAATACCAGAGGTAGGTGATGAAAGCAATCAGACCCAGCTAGATGAGCACGGTGGGAAACCTTCAGCTGGCGTTGAAACCTCTCAACTATACCGTTAGACTCAGGATGAAAAGAACTTATAGGAGAGTGAATGATTTCAAGGAAGTTGCACAATAAAGACCAAATGGTGCTGGTAAACTGTGCTCTATGATAAGGGGTGATCACTGTTTGTACTCCAAACAAAGGAATCCATGAGCTTTAGCACAATCCTCTGCTGTATTAGAGTGAAATCTACTTTTCTCATTAATTTGTTGAATGTTGTTGGAACGCGGTTTTGTAAATTGTGAACAGTCCTTTAGCGAATTTTGTAAATTTAGAGCAATCCCATAAATAGCTTGATTGAATTCGTGATTTGGTTCTGAATAATAATATTCTCAATATTTTTTACATATTCTGTTTGTTTATTTACTGTTTGTTTACAACTTTAAACCAGTTTTCACTAAATTCTGTGCAGTACCCTTGGTCATCTGGTCTCACTACCAGGTTAGAAAGATTGATCAAATTTTTCCACATAAAGTCAAATTGGTTAAAATTGTTAAAATATTTTCATTAATAATTTGGAATTCTTTCATTTTTTAGTTGGATTTAGTTTGTGAAATCGGCGGATCTGAGGTAAAATTTTATATTTAAGGCTCTATTTACGGCTTTATTTACAAGTGAAATCTTTTGTGTTTTTTTTTAGATTAAACAGGGAAATATTTATTAACCAATTGATTCCAAAAGCGTTGTTTTTTGATCCGTTCTAAAACTTTTAAATTTGGAAGATTTTCTTGTTTCTTTTAACTTTTTTCAATATTCTTATTAAACTAAATTCTTATTTGAGCAGTACATCTTATTGGGTTATATTTTATCTTTTTGTTCTTGCACTTTATATACTTTTAATTTAGCAAGTGTGTGTGTTGTTGTTCATTGTGGTTTATATCGGTTCAGCAGTATCCTCAAGCAAACTTATTGCTCTCCTTAAGCAAACTTATTGCTCAAGACCCTGCTGGATCTACCCTAGCTCTGTTCAACCCCGATCAGCGAAACAAGTAAGGATAAACTTTTTATTCTCTGCCAAGTAATGCATTTAATGCAACTGATTGCTTTAATAGAAGCAAAATAGAGTTAAATTGCTCAGTTCGGACTAGTTCCTATTAACCCTTTTTATTGGGCAAGATTATTGCTCCAATAAAGTAAAAGCAAACTTATTGCCATAAGCTAAGTTTAATTGCTGATTTAGTGTGCTTTTGGATAACACACAATTATTGCTATTTAATAGCAATTAGGTTCATGACTGAAAGTTCATGGGATAATAGGGTGATTGTCATGAACTAGAATTCCCTAACATTTATTTAGACTGAATACAGTAGATTTAGTAGTTATAGTAGATTTCCTTTTAAACGTGATCCTGGAAGGTATTTGGCCAGGTTGTGGAATGGTGAAACAAATAATTATAAAGTAGCTTTGAAGATTTTTGATCAACAAAGGAGAAAATCTCTAGAAACTCGTAAAGCTACAGTGAAGTTTCACAGTGAATTAGTTGATAAAGGATTTGTAGTTCCTTTTTTATCCTTACCACAATGTGTTCAGGAAAGGGTAAATGATGGTAAACTAAAGCATTATATGTATTGGAGAACGGTGTTTAATGAAAATAGCTTGTCCACCCCTGCAAGGATTGTAGTTGATCCTAGCATGTCGGGGTTCAATGAAACACTGGTAAAAGGGATCAATTGTTTAAACTCTTTGTAAATGATCGGTATCAATTGGAGAAGCTGGATTGTAGGGTTTACTGCAGACATTAGTAAAATGTATAACACTATTAAACTCTATGAAAGTGAATATAGGTATGTACTGTATCTCTGCTCACCCACGTTAGACCCCCAAGAGGTAGTGGAAACCTGGGTTTATGTGTGTGTTACTTATGGGTTAGTATCCTCTGGTAATATCACAACAGCGGCATTGCGGAGAATAGCGACAATGTGCGACAATGTTTAGTGAAGTAAATTTTAATCCTAAGCTGAGAGGAGCAAAGAAACCCAACGAAGAACTTGTAGACTCAATTGAGAAAGTTGAGAAGCTTGTAGACTCGGTACAACTAACTAGATACATGTGTTTGTCTTAAGTGAAGGAACTGTATGATGCCATTGGAGTTGTTGCAGTCATTAAGGCCAAGCTAAATTTAGATATGAAAGAAGTAACTATTTTTGAGTTTGAAGTTTTGCCAGAGAATCTTCAGGAGGTATGGAAGAAAAATATTACTCTAATTCATCAAGCCAAAGGTATTAAGTTTCCTTGATCCTTAGTACCGGTGAATGCAAGAGAACCAGAGTCAATTGAACTGATAGTAACTTGTGATGCTGCTCAGTGGATGTGTGGAGTAGCGATATACTCTCGAATGCTAACAAAGGATGGTACTTATTGTGTAAGGTTAGTAACTGCGAGATCTAAGTCAGTTCATCACACAATTCCTAGAAATGAGTTAGAAGCATTAGTGTTAGCAAGTGAAACTTTGTTCTGTGTTCTTCAGGCACTGGGATCAAGATGTAGAAGATACTGGATTGCAAGTGACTCTGAGATCGTGTTAGCATGGGTGACAAATGACTCAAAACCATTGAAGCAGTTTTGTTTTAACAGAGTGCAGCAGTTAGAGTTTACAACTTATAAACGACAGATCAAATAATCGTGTGTTTGGAAATTATCGTACTTTACAATTACGTTGAGATTAATATAAATATATTCTTATACATAATACATGTATGAAATCAAGGTTTTAAAACTAAAACTTAGGCCAAATCTGTCCAGCCGGGGTCCTAGTGAACGATTTTTGGACCCCCTCCCCCTGGCTACCCCCCTCCTATCTATTTTGTACATGACCAAATTAGTATTTATTTAGCATTATTTAGGGTTATGTTAGGTTAAGAAATTGTCTGGGCCGAACGCTGCAGCTAGGACAGGCACTTTCTGTAAGATCCATGTACAAAATTGATAGGAGGGGGGGGGGGGCAAAAAATCGCTG